CAATAAAAACTTGGTTAATAAAAAAAAACATCCCAGCATTGCGTGTGGTGCCCTCCGTCTTTTGGGGTGCAGTACTATGATGCCGGTGGGGTCATTCAAACCTCCAGACTGAGCCTCTACCTTAGTCAATCGTCTTTGTGGCCCGAAGCCATATGGTGGCGGGAAGATGCGGTAATTCGAAGAATGAAATTTGTCAAACAAACGTGAGATGTCGCTTGGTGAGCAATTTGGGATTTTGAGTGATTTGGCGCTGGTATCAGCTGGTATTGTCGTCAGCTGTTTAATTTTCAGTAGTGGTGGCTGAATTCGCCTTGGCGTCTGTTATTTGTCTCTCCGTTGGTGCAAGTCCCTCACAGAGTTGTGAGTTCTGGGGCATTCACTTGATCCTCACCTCTCCAACTCTTCACTCTCAACACTCTACCCCAACAGATAATCGTATCAGTGAATGTGCATTCTTTGTTTATACAATCGTTAATTTTATTTAAAATTCTCACTCTACCAGCCCTGGCATTACGAAGAAGGTAAAGTTGCAAGAGAATACCATTTCCGGGATTGCGCAAAGGCAAACTAGTGTTCCATACACTGGTGAGAAAATAAAATCGTGAAGAAAGGAAAATAACAGAGGGTGAGAGAGAGAGAAGAAATAAACACCGAGGGGACAATTATCACAGCGTCGGGTCTCTTTATCATTATCCATTTGTGTTCATCACTGGGAAGTCATTGAGTTTCCACTGTTTTTTTTTTTTGTGATAAATTAAAGGGTTTGATAACCTGTAAATTATGGCAATGCCAACTAGTAGCGCAGTGCGGGCACTTGCCCTGGAGTACAAAAGCCTTCAGGAAGAACCTGTCGAGGGATTTCGAGTTAAACTCGTCAATGAGGACAACATGTTTGAGTGGGAAGTTGCAATTTTTGGACCACCAGATACACTTTATCAAGGTGGCTATTTCAAGGTTAGTAAATACCATTTTTCCACATTATAAATCATTCATTGCCTGTTATCTGCCATTTTTTATTCTGTTTCTTAGTT